CCCCCCCCCCAGGCCCCCCGCCCCCTGGCTCCACGCTCAGCCCTGCATTCCCAGTCCTCAACCCTGTGGGCTGCAGGGCCGTGGTCACGGGCTCACTGCAGCCCCTGGAGCTGCTCTGTGCTGGCGGCCCAGCCGCAGGGCAGGCCCTGCAGGGGGGGCGCACACGCTGGCTCAGGGCCCTCCTGCCGCACGTGAGTCTCTCTGACCCCCACCCCCCGAGGCCGAGCAGGGCCCAGGTGCACGGCCTGCCTGGAGCAGGGCTGACAGGCCCGACCCCCAGGGGCATAGCTAGCGACGCCCGCCTGCCAGGGACCCCCAGCAGCACCTCCACACGCAGGGCCGCCGCGCTCCGAGGGCCGGATGGGATTTCAGCGGAGCTCGGCACCGGGAACGCGGGCGCTGAGGTTCGGGCCTCTGCGGACGGTGCAGGTGGAGCTCACCGCCTTTTCCTGAGGAAAATTCAGTAACAGAAACAGCCTGGAGAATACTGCCAACCACCCTAAAAAGCCTTTTGCCCTAACTAAACCCGTGTGCATCTACGACGGGCTCACCCAGGGACAGACGGGAAGCAGCCCGCCGCGCTCTCAGTGGGTGAAATCTGCGGCTCTGGTCTCAGGGGGCAGGGGCAGCCCAGGGCCCCGCGGGCAGGCCCCTGGCGCCCAGCTTGCCCCGGCTTCCCTCCAACGGCCGCCGCCAGCCCTGCTGCCAGAAACGGCAGCTGCGGCGCTTTGCCCTTCACTCTAAATTGGGAAAAATTCACCTGGGGGTGCAGGAGGGAAAGCACCCACAGGCACCTCTTCACACCACTGCTGCTCGCCGTGTCTGAGGTGAGAAAAGCAAGCCACACAGACGACGTGCTTGTCTCCCGGCTTGGACGCTGCCGGTCACAGCTGCACCTGCGGACACCTGCCCACTTCCTGCCACCAGATCCACATCACCTCTGCCGAGAGTGCGGCGGGAACCCCACACCCCCAGCTCGGCTGGCACGGGCTGCTGCCTGGCCGACCCGGAGCCGCCTGAGCTGAGGTGACGTGGCCGTTCCTCGTGAGGCGGGAGCTGCTGGCAGAGCGCGGGCCTCGAGCGAAGCCAAGTGCCCCTAAGAGCGGAGCCAGCGACCACGGAGGAAGGCGGAGGGGTATCACTCCCCACGAGGCCCCCAAACACCCGACCCCGCTCAGGCGGCAGCCCCGTCTCTTTCACAAACTAGAAGGGGGGAACTTGCGGCCAAGAACCAGATCGCTCACGGAGCTAGCACGGCTCTTCCCTTTCTGAGTCAGAGGTCCCAGGGAGCTTGTCTTCCAGGAAGGTCGTCCAAGGGAGAGGGTGGGACTACCCGCCCTCCTGGGGAGACCCGGCTATGTCTCCTGCCCAGGCAGCGAGGTGGGAAGAGTGGACCACAACGGGTGATCTTCAAGCAGACGTGGACGCAAAACACAGAGCAAGGAGTCCCTTCATGCCCAGCCACCTGCCGGTCTCAGGGCGAGGCAGCCGTCATGGCCGAGACGGAGGCCTCTCCCTCTCCAGGGAGCGTGGGGAGAGCATCCCTCTGGACCAGGGGACAGGCGGTGAGGAAGCCTGAGCATCTCTGCGAGGTGCCTGGGCCCCGAGAGCATGGGGTGGTGAGGGGTGGATATGCCTCTGGGGTCCCAGGCAGACAGCCTGAGCCATCTGGATCGGGTACCGTCCCCAAGGGAGAGGAGAGGCTGCCGGCTAGGTCAAGGGGCACAGTCTAATCAAAGGCTGGCTTTACAGTGAAAGGTTTGAAAACATCCACAGACCGTGGCAAAGCCAAGAGAGAGTGAGAACAAGCCGCCTCGAGAGCAAGGCCAATAAAGGGAGTGGCCCCTGCCGGAGACCCAGCCCACCCTCCAGCACAGCCCGGGCAGCGCGGAGGCCTGACCACCCGACACGTCTCATTAGCTTTGAATGTGAAAAAGGTAAAACAGCTCATCAACAATTTTTTATACAGATCACATGTTGAAATGACAATGTTTCTGGATATTGGGTCTAATAGATTATACCATTAAGATGAATTTCATGTTTTATCTTATTTTTAAATTGTTTTAACTTTTAAAAATGTGACTTATTGGAAGATTATAAGTTACATATGTGGCTTGAATTATGGTTTCATCGGACAGCACGGGCTTAGAAATCTGGACTCTCGTGGTGGCTCACCTGATGTCTAGCTGGTGGCAACTGAGGCAAGCTCCCTGGACTCGGATTTCTTTCTGAAATCAGCCCAACTTCCTTCACTGTTAAAGAAGAGCTGAAATGCCATCCCCACCCACGAGGAGGCTGGCCTCCTCCTCTGGCTGCTGCCCCGTGGCTGGGCGGGGTGTGCACTGCACGAGGACAGCACATCGAGGGAGCAGGCCCTGCTCGCGTAGCACGCGAGTAGATCCGTGGATTTGTTCTTAGAGATCCTGGCACTTGGCAGAAGGTGTCTAATCCCAGCAAAGTGAGTAGTTTACAATGACTTTGCAATAGGAGGAATGAAGCATCTTGAGGGGGCACTTTTTCTCATGTGTGAGAAAACCAGCTGGGCTCTGGTCATCCCTCCCCGAACCTGCGGCCACCGGAGCACCACCGCTTTGCTGGCTTGGCCTCCCTCTGTGTCACGCGCCCGGTGCCGACGTGCGAGCCTTAATTTACAAAACGGGATTGGCGTCTGGTGCCCAAGAAGGTCAACAACCAGCCGGGCCTGGGCCTGGGCCGCCCAGGGTGGGCCACTTACCCTTTCGCTCCTCCTCTCGTCGGGTCTACCTCCTGCACTGGTGGGGCTGCGTGCCGACCGGCCGCCGGCAGGGCCCGCTCCGGCCTCCCCGTGGAGGTGGACGGCGCTGACGTTGGGAGGAGTGACGGCCGAGGCTGCCGACGAGAGCGGGATGGCTGGCCGGGGGCTGTGCTGCGGGGACCCGATGGCGGGCAGGCTCTGGGCGCGCAGGGGCGACACCGCGGCGGTGGGCCGGCCCTGCACCTGGGCCGGGTGGGCAGCTGGGAGAGAGGGGCGGAGAGAGCAGGGGGCGGTGAGTCTGCAGCCGGCAGCGTGGGGGCCACGGCCCGCCCTCCCGCGCACACCTCTTTTGAGTCCCCAGCCGCAGCCGCAGGGGCAAGGAGGCCTCTGGGCAGCCGGCCGCCCCCGACGCACCAGGAGCCGGGAGGCGGCCTCTGAGGCTGCCGCAGACGAGGCCCTTCCCAGTTTCTCCCGTCTTTGAACTGGTGTTCTATGCTGTAAGGAGCCAGTACGCTCGGGAGGGTTTCAGAACCACGCTGTTCGGCCCTTCGTAGACCTGAAGCCCATGCTGGAGCCCGGAAGAGGCCCGGGGAGGCCCTGGGCTGCCGGGCTCCGCTGCGTGTGAGAGGATCTCTGTGGACAGCGCGGCCCGGTCGGCCTCCACCCGCAAGTGGAGCGGCCCTCGGCCGCCACGCCCGCTGCTCCAGCTGGCCGAGCGGGGGCGGTTGGGTCAGGATCCACGGACCGATGGCTCACCGTCCGCCTCCCCGCTCCAGCGTAAGCTCCACGGGTGGGACTTTCGTGTCTAATTCACTAACGTGTTCCAAACAGCTGGAACAGTGCCTGGCACGTAGTACATGCTTAATAGAATTCGTTCGGAATGAACGAGTCTTTGAGAAAGGAGAACCCTGGCTAAAACATCTCTACAGATTTCCCAGAACTGAACGGCTGGAGAAGAAAACAACACTCCATGAGAGAGAGGCATGGCTCACAGCACAGACTGGTGGCAGGGTCGGTACAATTCACCCTCAACCTCACCCGCCTGGTGGGACCCAGACACACGCGGCTGACCCGTCGCCCTGCTGGGCCTGCTGGTCAGCGACGTCAAAGCAGGCGTGGGCTGCTTGAGGACGAGCGTGGACACGCCGTTACTCCCAGTCTCTGCCCCTCCGCTCCGCTCTATCCCATTGTTTCAGTAGCTCTGGAGCCCCCAGATCCCGCTACCCCGCACGGGTCCACTCTGCCTCCCGGGACCAAGGTCCAGTGGTGCTTTAAAGAGAGCAGGTGAATGAGTAAGTGACCTACCTTATCTTCCACTCTGTCCTTGCCTTACCCTTAGGCTATCACTTACCACTTCATGGATGGAACGAACGCTGGAGACTCCCCCAGCGTCAGGGCAACCTCTGTCCAGACCCAGCCCCTCAGCCTCCAGGGTGCAGGGTCCCACGGGGCGACCCTTCACCCTCACTGACACCTCCCACACCCCGTCTCTCCTGTCCTCGACTCCGCCCCTCCTATAACTGACTAACCCCCTCCTCTCTACCGGCACCTCCTTTCCTGCTGCCTTGACCCCTAGGTGCTCAGAACAGCGTCCACATGGCCCTTCCTTTTCACTCGACTCTCTGACGGGCCTGTGTTTGGTGTCTGCTCGTCCTCTGAGGCTTGACGGTTACGGCGAGTTCGGGTTTGCGTTTGTGGCTGTGATTCCGACTCACACGAGGGCCCGTCTTCCGTCTGGGGGACGCCGCCGTGATCGTCCTCGAGGATTCTCTCTCCCGGCCCCTGCTCTCTGCTTCTGAAAGTCATGTTAGAAGTCATCTGGAGCTCGGCGTCCACCCCGTGTGTACTTTCTTCTTGTTTTGCCTCCGCTCCATCTCTGGACAAGCTCCTCTGCGAGGCTTCCGGTGTGGCCAAGTCCATCTCAGCTGTGTCCAGTCCAGAGCGTGTGTCACCCACAGAGGTTTCGTATTTAAATATATGTTTCCTTTCCAAAGTTTCAAGTTGCTTCTGTCCTATCCAGTGGTTTCTGAGTCACATCCATCTACCTGCTGTTTTACTTTTCTTCATAATACTATTTTTTCTTCCTTTTGGTGGGACGGACATTATTCCTTCTTTTTCCTCTTGGAGGAGCTGAAATGTGCCGATTTCAAAGCCTTCTTTCTTCAGGCTGCTGGCCTCTGTGATGCAGGACTTTCCCATGAACTGAGTGCAGGCTCGCCCTGAGCGTGAGTGTCTCGCTGCCCTGTTTCCTCTCTTTTATCCCCTCCTGCAGTTTTGTTGCTGCTTCTGCCTGGACTCTGGGACCTCCCCTCGGAACCAGGTGTAATCGGGTGGCTTGAGTCTGGTCCTGCAGGAAAGGTGCAGATCTAGCCCTCAGGCCAGAGCCAGACTCCAACTCCAGGTGGGGCTCCATTCCCTCCCTCATCCCAGGCAGGGGCTCAGTACTGACCACTCCCAGGAGGGGGCTCAGCCCTTAGACCAGTGCACCTGGCCTGGATCCCTGATGCCCTCCAGGGGCTGCCTGTCCGTGTTCTCCTGCAGGAGGGGAAAGCCAGCCGCCACCACCACCTGCTTCATCCCGGAACCCAGGAGGCCAGCGTATCAACTCTCTTGAGTTCCATTCGTTTACATCCAGAGTATCAAAAACCAACCAACCTCTCTGTTCAGAGCAGAGGCGGGGTGGGATTTCCACATGAATCACTCTTCCAGGCTTCCAGGAGTCCTCCACTCACTTCTGTCTCCTGAAATACGGTTTCTCACCCCATCGTTCCAGCAAATGTATCCGGACGAGATCAGTTATGACTCCCCTGTCACCAAACTTAATGGACACTTTTCTGTTTCCAGAAAAAGTATCTATTAATCTAGCCATTTGTCTTCACACCAATATCACACTGATTACTGTGGCTTTTTAATATGTCTTGAAATCAGTGTCAGCTTTCCAACTTTTTCTTTTCAAGGTTGTTTTGACTATTCTAGGTCCTCTGCATGCCTGTATGAATCTGGGAACCAGATTGTCAATTTCTGCCTAAAACCTGGGTGAGATCTTGATTGGTATTCCATTGAAGCTATAGGTCAGTTTTTGGCAAATAAACACCTTAACAATACTGTTTTCTCACTCCTGAATAAAGTATACCTCTCTACTTATTGAAGACTTCTTTCTTTCTTTACTTTGCAATATTTTGGAGTGTTCATTGTACTGGTCTTACTCATCTTTTGTCAGATTTATTCCTAAGTAATTTATATTTTTGATGCTATTAAAATTGGTATCATTTTTTAAACGTCAATTTCCAATTATTCATTGCTGGTGTAAAGAAACAAAACTGACTTTTGTATATTGATCTTGTATCCTGTAACCTTGCTGAAACTAATTCACTGTCTCTAAAAAAGTCTTTGCCTGTGTCTGAGTGTGTGTGACTGTGGGTTCCTTAGGGTTCTCTATGTACAAGGTCACGTCATCTGCAAACACAGATGGTCATCCTCTTTCCTCTCCCATCTCCACACCTCTTCCTCTGCCTTGACCAACTGCTCTGGCTAGAACTTAACAGCACAATGTTGAATAGAACTGGTAAGAATGGACATCCCTAACTGGACCCTGATCCTGGGGAAAGCTTTCAGTTTTGGGGTTTTTGTAAATTAATTTTATTTAGTTTTGGCTGCACTGGGTCTTCGTTGCTGCACCCGGGCTTCCTCTAGTTGCGGCGAGCGGTGGCTTCTCTTGTTGCAGAGCACAGGCTCCAGGTGCGCAGGCTTCAGTAGTTGTGGCACGTGGGCTTAGTTGCTCTGCGGCGGCATGTGGGATCTTCCCAGGCCAGGGCTCAAACCGGTGTCCCCTGCATTGGCAGGTGGATTCGTAATCACTGTGCCACCAGGGAAGTCCCAGCTTTTAGTTTCTCACCATTAAGTCTGAGGTTAGCTGTGGGTTTTCACAGATACCCTTTATCAGGCTGAGGAGCTCACTTCTCTTTTCTCATTTTCTGCGAATTTTAATGTGCAGACGTGGACAGCGCAGCAAAAAAACGAGTCATTTGATGCACGTCTTTGTTCTGAATCCTACTCTGTCTAATTTATGTTGGATTTTGTCAAAATTCTTTTCCACATCTACTGAAATGATCATATTCTGTTCATTTCTGAGTTTGCTAATACATTGAATTGTACTGACTGTCAAACATTAATCAAAGCTTAAGTTCCTGGGATAAACTCTACTTGATCATGATGTATTATCCCTTTTACTTATCGCTGTATTTGACTTGCTAAAATTTTGCTGAGAATTTTTACACCTATGTTTTGAGTGATATTGGTCTGTAGTTTTACTTTTTAATGTCTTTGCCTGGTTTTGTTATGAGGGTAATGCTGGCTTCATAGAAAGAGTTAGGAAGCATTCTCTCTTCTTTTCAATTTTCTGGAAGAGTTTCCGTAGAATTGTTATAATTTCTTCCTTAACCAATAGGTATAATTCATCAATACAGCCACTTAGGCCTGCAGTTTTCTTTGTGAAAGGTTTTAAACTAATTCAATTTCTTTAATAAATAGAGGTCTATCCAGGTTTTTTAGTTCACCTTAAGTTATCAATTTGTGTCTTTTAAGAAATATATCCATTTTGTCTAATTTGTTTATTGGCATAAAGTTTTTAAAAATAATAATCCCTTATCATTCTGTAGAATCTGCAGTGATGTCAGTTTTATTATCCGTGGTATTGATAATTTGTGTATCTCTCTTTACTCTTTATCCATCTGTCTAGAGGTTTATCAGTTCTGAATCAGTCTGGATCCTGACTCCGTCCGTCACCTGTTAGTCAGGCAGCCTCAGGCAAGTCACTTCATACTTCTGAACCTCATTTTCTCTTTTGTAAAACAAAGAAAATAGAATCTACCCTGATGGGTTGTTTTTAGTATTTAAGATTGTAGTCTGTGTGCGACGCACACATCTCACTTAGGGGCAACAGCTCAGTATTCACTAATTCAGTGCTCATGGAAACCTTACAGAACACCATAAAACCACAGAGACTGCGAGTAATGGGATCAGCTGTGTGGCCTTCTAATTTTAACTAATTTATGGTTTTATGTTTAAAGTATTAAAATCTGTTTTCTGTTCACAGCATATGGTTGGGTCTTGTCTTTTTTTTTTTTTTTTTTTTTCCCGTAACAATCTCTGAATTCTCCTTGAGGCTATTCAGATGATTTGTATTTAATGTGATTATTTATATGATTAGGTATAAACCTACATTTTACTACAGGTTTTCTATCTGACCCATGTACTTTGT